GCATTGTTCTCTGAGATATCCAAATCAGCATGTGCACAATTACCTATCCGACTCTCGTATTACCTATCCGACTCTTATGCATGTGCATGAAGCTTACTTGGTATGGACTTGTAGAAGGTATCAGTAACAAGATGTTGATGCTTGTGAAGAAACGAGGCTTGTCCAGTGTACTACGCCAATACAAGAGTTGGATAGGTAATTACACACATGCTCATTTGGATATCTTGGAGAACTATGCACAGCACTGCACTAGTGGAGAGAAGAAGTAATTTGACATCAAGGAGGGGGAATCCGATGACGGGTTGGTTAAGGATGAGAATGGCAATCACGATGTGGGGCAAGTTGACGATCGAGATACAACAAGAACTATTAGACAGAGAGCTTGAAGTAATAAACAAAGCATACAGTTGTGGGGTTGTTCACTTAATTTTGGAAAGTGTGGCAGCTGAGAAAGAAGCTGGTATGGTTAAAAGAATTGTGATTGAGATTGACTATGCTTACAGTTTCTTGAAGACTAATTTGAGGCAGAGTGAGAAAGTGTTGGATATTCCTCACAAGCGCATGTTGAAAGTGGGGATGATCTATGAACTTTAGGAAAAGAAGAAACTGGATGCATGACTTAGTTTTGAGTACAGCTTCAGAAGAACTAATATGGGCTTGTGTAGAGTCTGTTTTAGGAAAAGAAGAAACTGGATTCAAAGGAGCTTGCAGAGTCTTTGTGGGAACACAAGGAGTCATATCTTGGAGACAACGGAACTCTGATTTTTTTTTTTCCTTTCGCTTTTCTTATCGCACAACACAATAATGTTCAACTCAACTCTTGGAGACAATCAGAATAACAAAAGCAGGAAGAGAAATGATAAAGGAAAGAAATTAGAAAGAAACAACAAAAGCTCATCAACTAATTAATTAATTGTAAAGCTGGATGTGCATGATCGACAATTGCAACCTCGTGAATAGGGGTGGCATCAATCTGGGGGAATCAAATTGTAATTATCGGTTTGGTTTGGTTTTGATTAAAAAGAAGGGAGTTTCACTAATATACCCAAAATAGGAGCTGAAATTATAAAAAAACCCCACATGGAATGCACTTTAGAAACACACCCAAAATCCATTTACCATATAAGAAATTGGTGTTGAAGTTCCTATAAATTACAGGACTGCCACTGATGGCCACCAGAAAAAAAAAACAAAAAAAAACTCAAAAAACACCCAAAACAAGCCCAGCCCAATTTTATAAAAAAGCCCAAACATTTTTTTAATTTTCATGGAGGTATCAGGAATGGCTTAAAAGTGGCGTAATTTGGTGAACATAACAATTTGACAAGAATTTTAGCCTAACTAGAGAATAGGGATATATACCTCTTAAGTAAATGGACTTAGCATTCATATAGGAGTTCGAACTTGAATTTGAATAAAATGATCAGAAATAACAAGTAAATTCCCCTAGTATGTCATCTCAACCCCTACGATAGACCAAAAATCTAACACAAGGGGAAAAATGTGAATTTCTGTATTCTTAATCCTACATAGGATCTTGCAAACCCTTGAATACAATGTGGTAATTATCATGTCTGCTGAGCCCCATCAAGCAGTTATCAGCTTCATCACGACTACTTGAAACTCTATATCATAAATCAATCTTCACAATGAAACTATATATTAAGTCATGGTCTCGACAGCTTTCTTGGCAAATGTTTCAGCAACCAGCAAAGGGAAAGGCAATTTGACGCAGAGTGAGAAAGTGTTAGATATTCCTTACAAGCGTATATTGAAAGTGGGGATGATCTATGAGCTTTAGAAAAGAAGAAACTGGATACATGGCTTAGTTTGATTACAGCTTCAGAAGTAATATGGGCAGAGTCTTTGTGGGAACATAAGGAGTCATATATCTCGGCAACTTTTGGCATGAAAGTTTCTTTGCTTTGAGTTCCTGATTCTGATGAGAAACTTGTTGATGGTCATGATCTTGGCTTCCCTGAGGATCTGTGAAGAAGATATAAGATTAGAAATCTGGGGGTGCATAGCAAAAGATTGGAAAAAACAATCGGCTATGCACATCTTTTGTTTCTTTTTAAATCCCAATGACAACTCCTTAATCATCAATTAATTCTACAGACACAGTTTCTATCTTGATCCTGAGTATGATTAGTGGGTTGGACATTCCTAAAAACTCAATTCAATCATCATACCAACAATATATTTCTGCAAGTATTAATCGGTTGCAATTGTCCATCGCCAAGTATTAATCGGTTGCATGATTTGTATCATGAAATAAGGACTTTTTACCTTCACATTCTCACAAAAAGATAGTCGTGAGTGAGAGGCGTCAAGCATGAGCTCGTGTGGATAATTAATTCCACAAGTTTAGCCGGATTAACAATCCACCTAATTTGGGCTTTGACCGAATTACACACAATCCGGTCCAACTTCAATTTGGGCCTCCCAACACCAGATTGGATTCAAAATCCTATTCCAACTAATTTATCCGGCCCACCAAACAGGCCCTTCATATACACAACAGTTGATTTTTGTTATACAATAATGGCCTCTTAGAGCCTCTCCAGCGGTAAGCCCAGCCCGAGGCTGGGGGGGGGAAGGTGTTCCAGCGGACAGCCCAGGCCCGGGGGAGGTGTGGGACCCACCAACTCGGGCTGGCCCGAAGGCAACTTCTGCCTAAGGTCCAAAACGAGGGGGGTGACTGTAGCGCTACAGTACCTTGCTGATTTTATTTTTTTTCCTGTTGTCACGTGGCGTCGTCTGGGCTTTCCGATCTGATTTTTTCCTCCAATCCAACGGCAGCCAATTTTTTTGCAATAAAATACTGGAAAAAATTCGGAAATTTTTTTAAAAAATACCCAAAAATTAATGAATTTTTTTTTATATAAATACCAGCCATTTTTTTTTAATTTATCTGAAATTTGAAATTGAAAATTTTGTCCGATTATGAGATATGAATAGTATTGACACGTAGGAACCCGAAAATCTTATTCGAAAATATTATCCAAATTAATTATTGTGGTAAAAAAAGTTGTGAATAAAACAAAAAAATGAATAGTAACTGCCCTTAGCAAGGGCAACGGGTGGAAACACAAA